GATAAATAGCTGTCCTCCGTCACGAAGAAAATAAATTGAATAAAAAGCTAGAGATTAGAAGAAATTATATGTGCGACACCTAAACCTTTTTGCCCAGTCATCACTCACTTCTGTATATAACCTGATATTCAATTTTCAAACATCATTTTGTACATTAACTGGTTTCATCTAAGCATTGAAAAAATCCGTTGATATCTAGGTAATTTCTTTATGTTCGAAATTTAAAACCGTACATTTATGCGAAGGTATGAGTACTATCCATACACTATCTACACACGCCTATAAATATAACCAACGCGACGTGTCTAAAAGAAAGAGTATTTATTATTTGTTTGCTATAGTCAGGGTGCTATAAACTTCGGAAGCTATAACTATAATTGTGATTAGCGCTTATTAATCGGAAAACTGCAGATATTTGACCAGGAGCATTTACAAAGTCCGAACATCACAAATCATTTAACTTCAGTGGATTCTCATCGGACATTAGTACTTTTACGAAAACATTATATCACTTCATCGTGGAAAACTCGGCGTATGTGGTTGGTGAATAACGAAAGACAAAGCTAGCTAGCTCCCCGTTAAGCGAATTGTACCTACATCAACTCGTAATTAATTCGCTCATCGTCAACCCTCGATAAAATATCAAGGAAGTTCCAGACTAGAAAGAAGACTTTATATTGCTTGTAAGTTTGTAAAATTTTTTTATATAAATCATTGTGTGTAATAACTATTTGTAATAACTGTTATTGTAAGTTGTATTATTGTTTGTGTATTAAAATATATTTGTATTTAAAATAAAAAAACTATATCAATTTTGTTGGCAAGTATCATAAACCGATCATATATCGGCTTTTACTTAACTGCTAAATCCAAAGTACAATCTAACAACTACATTTAAATTATCATTTAGTTCGGTATCAGACCATTCGAAATTGTAAAACGTAACAATCATTTAATGTTTAACAACTTGTGCGTGATTTTCATATCAGGCCTACACCTCTAATCGCCATGACGTTTAGCCAATGCTTTTCTCACTATGCTAACATATATCTCATGGAAATTGAAACGTAATTCGAAGTTATGTGGAGCTCGTATTGAGTACGCTATTAAAAGTATATTGTAGCTAACTCATTAAGTAGGCTATCAAAGATATATCGTAGCTAACTCATATTAAGCTAAGTTATAGTTCGTGTTAAGCATTCTTTCGAAGCTATGTTATATTTCTTATTAGTACACTTTCAAAGCTATGTTATAATTAGTATTAAGTATGCTTTCAGAGCTTTGTGATAGTTCGTATTATGTACACTTGGGCATGCAGTTATTTTCCAGATAGTTGTTAGCCTAATGACGTCACGATGAGCCGAGTTTGATCTTCTACGGTCCAAAATTGTAAATCAAAATGAAAAACTATACGCATATATATATATGTGTGTGTGTGTGTGTGTGTTGTTGTTGTTGTTTTAATATTTTCTTTTTCTTCCCTTATAATTAGACCAGAAAATCAAAACTTGTATTTAAATCTCATAAACACCAGCATGCCAAATAATTCAGGTTACAACTGATCTAAGTTTTAACTATTAATACTTTAATATACACAAGTAAAGAAAAAACTATTCAAAAATGAAGTAAATGTAAGGATAGTTAATATCAGTCCTTCAAAAAACAATGCAAACAAGATAGTAGGGATGGTATTTGCATCATCTCTACATAACAGCACAGGCACACAGTATAGTAGAATGTTAACAGATAAAAATAGGATAAATTAAACTCAATTGTGATTGAATAGTTATATCTGTGCTATTATGTAGGGATGATGCAAATACCATCCCTACTATCTTGTTTGCATTGTTTTTAAAGGATTGATACTAACCATCCTTACATTTACTTCCTTTTTTTGAAATGTTTTTCTTCATTTGTTTGCTTGTTTTTTTTAATGAAGTGTTTCAATACACATAGGAAGGTTATACTTGTAACCAACTGCTAAATACAATGAGGTTCCAACTGTAATATTTATTGCTTATCTATTACTGTCTCGTAATTTCTGTTTCACCCTGTATGTAAGCTTTTTAAAGGAACACCATATTTCTATAATAAAAATAACTTAAAGGGGTAATGATAACATCGTTTACACTAGAATTATGATTTTTTAAATTACTACTAGCTATTAATAATAATTATTAGACCGTTTGAAAATATTTCACCTCAGTGAAATTGGTTGATACCACTGTTTTGGTTTTTAAGTTATTATGTAATAAAAAGGCAGAAGAAAGAAAAACAAGAAATTCAAACTTTTTGCTATGATATTTATAGATATTCCCAGAACTTGTGACTCAATCATTACATACGAATTGTTATAAAAGAAAATACAGCATAGTAATTGTAATGTTCTGATGACCTATTGAGGAGGTATTAAAATACCATTTCGATGAACAATCCAAGCCAACCCTACAGAGACAGTGCTACCTGCCTGATATTTGAGCCTTAATGGTTTAAAATGCATGTAAACATAATGATAAATTAGTTACAACGGAATCGTACAAAGGAAAATCTTTAAAGTGTAGACTAGATGCCACAAGGTTTACAATACATACCAGTTAAAACACTGTAAAGTACCATAAGGTTTACAGAACTGGCCATGCCCCTCCCACCGGCTTGTATATTTATTTTCTATCCAGTTTTTCCTAATTTCGCTAAATAAATTTTCGCAATGTTATGTTCTTTAGCCCCCCCCCCCCTAAATACGCCAGTGGACTTTACAGTACAAGCCAGTTAATACACTTCATATACATACTTTCCATGTCGAAGTATATGAAAAAAAAAAATAAGCATTATCATGGATTATATAGTTTCACCTTTCTACTTTATACTTATGATATACAACATACGATAAAAAACATATCTGAAGTTTAACTTTTAACACAAAATCTTCCGATTCCAGTTAGCCCTACAGATTAAATAAAGTCTTGTTACCGTGACATATCTGGTAGCCGTCTAGTTTATCGTGCAGTCAGAATAACAAACAAACAGACTGCATTGAACGATTCATCAGCGGTTTGAGTAAATTATATATATCAGGCACTATAAGTAAGTAACACACACATATATATATATATATTCTAACTTATGACTTGTAACTCAATTGCCTGTCAAATCAAGAGCCCTAAACATTGTACTCATAACGAGCCTAATTTCCATCCTCCAGTTTGACTGGCCATCTGGTAGTGGCAAGGATGTTAGTTTCTATTGTTTCATCTGACATATTTTCAAACCTCTTTAAGGTGACAAGAAACATGTGTTTAGCTTATTAAGGAGCATTGTATGCTTTCTTCCTTTAAGCTGAGAAAAAAATCTATTCAGCAGAATATATGAATACGTGTGTATACAGCGAAGTACCTGGTTTTTATTGTTTACTGGCGTTTCATTAATTGATTTATAAAAGGTAACCTCATAGTTTAACAGGACTGGATGACTTGCGTTGCACATCACCAGTTGTTTTGTCAGGTTTTTCTTCTTTTATTGTGATTTCCATAAAGTCACGTATATGCTACAAGCTGACATCGAGATATATTACATGTCTAAAATCCAGCAACTTCTCTATCCAGACACACTTCACTCATAAAAGATATGAAAACAAATGAACAGATTAGATTCGTGTAATTGTAACGTATGCCAATTATTTTCCCAGAGTTAAATTTTGACTTGATGTTAGATTCATCTATGCATGTCGTCTTATCAGATAATAGAGAAGTTACACTGACCCATGAATACTTTAGACAAAATGTTTCATTACGAAAGAAAAAAGAAGATAGCTAAGGATACGGAACAAAATAAAAGGAATAATCAAGCTTCGTTGGACTACGCCAATTAAAGACCTCTTAGTGGTCTGCAGTGGAAAAAATTCCAGGTTTTACGATGTAACACAATACATGTATTGGCCACAGCACACAAGTAAGCATGCATACATACAACAAACCTTGGGACCAAGTATTCCCGCCTAGCGGGATATATTTATCCAGCTCCAAGCCATCATAATATAAACAGGTGCATACTAGTGGAACTTACGTCATTGTGACGTCAATATAGATGTTCAATTCTTATCATCTCTTTCTATGTCTGGTTTACTTCGGCTTGATACCATAATTACATGACTCAGTTGCTAGACTAGTTTGCCGAACTAATCAGATATATAAAGAGAGTTTCATATATACAATGATCTAATGTTGCATCAACACTTTAATCAAAAATATCTTAACCAAAAACATTTCTAATAATATGGTTTACAATAGTAACTGAAACTAGCCAATATTGTAAGTTTCAAAATCGAAAACAATAAGCCTCTTTCTTTTCTTTGTCCTCAAAGTTTCCGGAGCCGTAACTAACTTACTATTTGAAGTCACAGCTTGGAGACTGAGTTTCAAAACGTTATTGAACTAAAGCCAGAATGATAAAAGCAGACAAGGCCATTTGGCCTAAAACGGTCTATGACCATCCAAATATCATGCGCACACAGTTAGCTTCCCTTGTTACTGAAGAACGAAATTAAAACCTGTAAAAATAACAAATGTGCTACCATTTAGCTGTTCTCTTCAAAAATGATTCAACGATTCTTAAAAAAATACAAAGTTTATATTTTTTAATGGTCATCAAGAACGCAAAACGTTAGTCTTTGATTTTTGTGCATAGATAATGTAAATGTTTAAACATACAAGTAAAATCATTACTACACAGACAATCCACTAAATTTTGTGGAATACTTGTAGTGGGAACTGACTTAATTTATAGTTGCATTAGAAAATAGTACTTGAAATGTCTGAAACATCGCTTTGACCAAACTCCTAATATTTTCTGGAATAAAACACACAAACAACCACACACACCAAAATTATAAATATAACTAATAGTATCTTATTTCAACCTTTAGTTATGTTATTATAATAATCACAGTTAAGCCTGTTTATTACAGGCAGATAACTAAACATATACAATACTAAAACACCTACCTTACTAACGTTTGTGGAGGGCTAGTGACGGCTAATGATGTAATTTCCCTTTTCATAACATACAGGGTCAGTAATGACAAGAAACAAATTACAGCAGCATCACTAATAATTCCTGAGTTAAAAAAGGAGTGGATAAACAAAACCACAACTGTGAATAAAAGGCGTGAAATACTTAAATCATATTAATGTCTAACACTATTGGCTATTAGAAAATTATCAAATGCAGGAATACACATTTAACGACATTCTATATCAAAGACACTTTAAACATCTTCAACAGAAAAGTATAACCCGTGTGTACCACATCTTTCTTCAAAAGAAACTTAAAACCTGCGTATAAATTTTTGTATTTGTTTATGGTTGGTATGTTGAAGTAAATTAGAAATTAAACAGTAAATAACTGTTAGTAGATATAAAATAAATCAGCATAAAGATGTAAAGAAGTCGTTTAGCAGATTTTGGTTGCATACAAGAAAAATCGTTACTATAAACCCAAAGGAAACGTAAAAGCTTGGAAGTTTTGTGCGTGTCACATGGCAAACCACCCGATGTAACTCATCAACTTAAATAAATGCTGCATATACAAATTCATATCTTTAATATTACTATTCTTACCATATTCCTACCTGCCTTCTATTTTCTCTGTACCCTACAAATAAATTACCATAACAACAACGCCACTTACTACACCGTTCACCTATTGTTACGTTGCTATAGCAATCACAGTGAAACTTGATTATTGAAAGTACGATATCTACACTATTTTTATAGGGCAGGTCTGAGGTTTATTCACTAAACATTAAACAGATGTGATTTTATGTGTTAAGGTGAACGTATATTTTGTTAAAGTTGTGAGTACACCAGAACATAAACTAAAAGGGTAATTTATACAGCTACTAACTACAGGCTTAAAAATACATTCAAATATCACGTTTGTCATTAAAACTGGGTTTAATTAGAGGTTTCCTTAGCTAATAAGGGTAATTTATACAGCTACTAACTACAGGCTTAAAAATACATTCAAATATCACGTTTGTCATTAAAACTGGGTTTAATTAGAGGTTTCCTTAGCTAATAGCAGACAAGCTATAAAGCACAGTAAGACTCGTAATATTTTTTACTTTTCATTCTGAATTGTTCTAAATCTACCAGCTTCCTAAAAGATTTCAGTTTTTCCCAACTTTAACGTTATACACCTAAAATAAACATGGTTCCTTAGTGCCTAAATTAAGTTACAAACAACCCAGCCAGGATCGAGATGGGATAACAGTGAGGTCGAACAACATATTACACAGTAATCTCACTTAAAATATATATTCCTAGCCAATCACTAACTAGTACGCCAATTTGTTTCTAGAGCTAGCTCTTCGAACAAAATAAGTGTTATTTGTAATTGGAGATTAGTTTCCACTCTCCTCTCGGTATGTTTAGAATCGCGTATTTCCCACATTCTTCAGTAGCAACAAGCGCCCTCTAGTTTTTGAAAAACAGATTAATGATGATGACAAAACCTTGTCGAAACGTTGTACATTTGCTGTTATATTGAAGTTTTTCTTCATTACCCAATCAAGCCGTCTTCAGCCATTATTAGATTAATATGTGTTTATTCACATTACTGTCTACTGGAAAATAGAACTAAATATGGTGTGCTTTATATATATATATATATATATATATAATTCTGTCATTCTGAAAGAGGGCTAGAGGCTATTCAACGTTTCAGTTATGCTAAAAGAACTAAAGTTTCTTAAACCTACATTTTTCAGTTATTTTAGGACTAAAATATACAGCAAAACTTCTAACATAATGTATAGTG